TCGTCCCTGACCTTGGCACCGCCGACAGCGACGCCATCGTTAACTTCACCGACTGGACACACCCTCCAGACCTTGATCCAGGCTTCAGTACAGAAGGATTCTGGTATTCACACACCATCCTTGAGGCAGAAAGAACAAGGGCGTTAGCAACAATTCAGACAACATCGGCAGCAGCAGAGACAACATCGGCAGCAGCAGAGACAACATTGGCAGCAGCAGAGACAACATCGACAGTAGCAAAACCATCAACGGCAGCAGCACGAACGTCAACACCGCTCCTCATCGACGACACTCCACCAACACGAGTGCAACAACTACACCCAGCACCACGAGAAGTTCATCGCAGCGCCAACTTCACCGCCAACTTCTACTCCGACTCCGATATGTACCGACGATCACCCGGACATCGCGCCGACGAAAGCACCTGGCACGCAAGGATGGGGCACCCAAGCAACACAGTATTAAACACTACGATAAGAGCAGGAGTACTCGACAAGGACTCAATTCTACTGACCGACAGACGAGAACTCCAACGAGTACGCGGAACGTGCTTCACCTGCCCCGAAGGTGACTTACCACATCGACCGTTTACGCCTCATCACAACCCGATCGCACCCGCGTACGCACCACTCGAGAAGGTGTATAGCGACATCCTGTTCAATTGGGAACCAGGACAAGTAACATACAACTACACGATCACCTTCATCGACGCCGCCACCCGCTACGTCTGGCACCAAAACCTCCCTAGCCGCGACATGGCGCTCGCAGCCTTCGCTGCCTGATTACCCGCAGCAGAGAGAGAATCGGGCGTACATCTGAAAAGCTTCCAGTCAGACGGAGGAGGAGAATACACCTCTCAGCAATTCAAGTAGTACCTGGCGGAAAGGGGAATCAAGCAGCTCATCTCCCTTCCCTACGCCCATCAGCAGCAAGGTGTAGCAGAAAGAATGAACAGGACTCTGCAGAATAGCATGCGCAAACTGTTACGTGGCATGCGGCTACCCAACCACCAGTGGCCTCCAGCAATGGACCACGCCGTCATGCTGCACAACTTCCTGTCGTCATCATCGCTTCCGAACAACGCATCACCGCATCTGCTATGGACAGGGAAACAGGGCAGCACAAAAATGTTATGAGTTTTCGGATGCATGGTACAGTACCGACCCCCAGCAGCACGAGCGGGCTGATTTTCACAACGCGCACAGTGGGGACTACACCTCGGCATCGAAAAGAACTACAACGTGTGGAAAATCTTCGACGTCCACTCCGAGGAAATAGTAGCAGCACGTGACGTAATTTTCTACGAACGACTCACGCTCCAGACATACCTTGCCAACCTTCAAGAAGACGAAGATCCCACATGTGGTTTTCGTGGTGACCGAGCCTTTGCCTCCGCAGCAGACGAAGCTGACTGGGACGAGCAGAATGTGGACAACACATCAGAAGAAGCCGGACCTCTTCCGTTCTGCTCCGTCCACGTTCCCATGGACGAAGATAACCCTCGCGACAGTGCCAACGCTAAAACCTTCTACCATTTCGCCGACAACGGTTACGTAACACCAGCAACAGTCAACACCAACGAAGCCAAACGAGTAGGACCGAATTTCTTACCAGATCCAGAAGCGGGAGATGAAGCAGCTTATCCCGAGGATGCAACTCTTCCCCGCTACTCACAAATCGGACTGCATATTCTCGGACTCGTCACCGCAGTCCATGGCACCGCCACTCCTAAAGAGCCTGCGACGGTTCAGCAGGCTCTGGGGGGGGAACATAAAGAAAAATGGCGCGAAGCCATGGACAAGGAGCTGAAGGCACTGGAGGAACGCAACACGTGGAAAGTGGTTCCTATCGGCGTGGCACGGAACAAGACAATACTCACCGGGAAGTGGGTCTTCCGCGTGAAGACAAAAGCCGACGGCACCATTGACAAATTCAAAGCTCGTTGGGTCGTACGCGGCTTTGATCAAGAACACGGATGCGAATTCACCGAAACTTTCGCTCCGGTTAGCCGCCACACCTCACTACGCATTCTCCTCGCAATCGCCGCCATGAAGAAGAAGAAGTTGCGGCAAATTGACGTCGCGAACGCGTTCCTCTACGCACCCGTCGACGCAGAGATCTTCGTGGAACTACCGCACGGTACTAACGGATAGCCCAACCAGGTTTGCCAGCTGCTGAAGTCGCTCTACGGAATCAAGCAAGCCCCGCGGCTATGGCAACAGTACCTACACGCTCGCCTCATTCGCATCGGGTTCCGCCAACTACCTCACGATCAAGGCTTGTACCAGCTTACGAAAAACGACGACTATATCCTACTGATCGTCTACGTAGACGACTTACTCTACGTCGGCTCCACTGACAGCATCACCACCTGGTTTGAAGGGGAGCTACAGAAGGACCTCACACTCACGGTCTCCTCTACCGTCACGCAGTACCTCGGCTTGAACATTCGAGAAGAAGAAGGCGCGATTCACCTCAATGCCACTAAGTACACCGACACCATCGCCAAATGCTTCGTGCTCACGCCTACAACCATTTCTATGCCCTACCGCTACGCGACAGGAAACCACAAGGAAGGATCTACTCTACTCAAATCCGCCGGGATACGCGACTACCAGAGAAAGCTAGGATGTCTTCTCTTCGCAGCTGTTACCTGCCGCCCCGACCTCTCATACTCCGCAAGCTAGCTCGCCACTCATCTCAAGAGAGGCCTGAAGCAAAACACATGGCCGAACTCAACCGTGCCCTGCACTATCTCGTCAGTACGCCAACGATCGACTTAACATATTACAAGAACGTGACCACGCCGCCTAAGCGAATCAGCTACGTCGACGCCGATCACGCCGGCGATCCCAACAACAGACGTTCCCGCACTGGCTATCGAACCTATCGGACCTATCTCCTGGCAGTCGAGCAAGGAGGAGTTAATAGCTCTCTCGTCAGCCGAAGCAGAATGTATTGCACTCTGCTCAGCCACCAAGGAAGGACTCTATCTTCGCGAGCTGCTGGAAGAAGCGAAGTTAGCCGAGTTACCCAACTTCTCCCTGTTCTGCGACAACCAGTCGGCAATTCGCATCGCCAACAAGAACGGCTTCGCGAACCAAACGAAGCATATCGCTCTTCGATATTTCTTCGTGAAGGACGAGATCGAGAAGGGGAGACTCGAATTATCCTACTGTCCCACGTCCGAGATGGCAGCCGATTACCTGACCAAGAAGCTCGCAAAGCAGAAGTTCGAATATTGCATGCTGCTGACTGGACAGAGCCACGTCAGCAACACTCTAGAAGCGAAGGGGAGTGTTGGAAACAATAGTTCCTAAGCGCCTCTGTCGTGTCGAAACACTAAGGCAAAAGCGAAGCAGAGCATATCGAGACACCAGCGAGTCAACCCTGCGGAGGTTGAAGTAACCGCTGGAGGTTACGGGAAAGTCAAAGGTCAGCGACCTTTGACTTGACAAATACAGTGCGACAGCAAGGACACACAACTGACTCGATATTGAGCAGTTGCCCGAGTCGCACTGTATCGAGCCGCAATAGTAAAACAGTTGAATTATATCTCTTCGTATTCCTTGTACTCTTATATAAACCTTTGTACTTGCTTGTTTTAATCAACTTACTTTGCCCTCACATACTAGCGCAAGGTGGTTCAGAATCTCTTCATTAAACGCTTCCGCTACTACATCACTCTACCCAAAAGTTTGACCCTACCAAAGATCCTACGGGGCACTCAGCCCAACATTCAACACGTGCAAAAACAACACATAACAACTAAGAGTGAATGCTAAAATGCATGGATGCTACAATAGAGATGGTTCTGGTATGCTAAGGCGAGCAACGCTGCCCCAACAACGATCCCCACCTCAAGTGCAGACCCGACACATTTTTACACCACACCTCAGTTGCATAACACGTGCAAAAACAACACTAACAACTGTGAGTGAATGCTAAAATGCATCGGTGCTGCAGAGGTGGTTCCGGTATGCTAAGGCGAGCAACGCTGCCCCAACAACGATCCCCACCTCAAATGCAGACCCGACACACATTAACATCACACATCAGTTGCATCACGAGGCACTTTAGCACACGGAGCCAGACAGGTGCAAACAGACAAACACACATATCTCACATAGGCGCACACGCACACATACACACACTTATAAGCACATGCACAACACACACTAACACACACGCAATCAAGCACGGATAGAGAGACCGTAATAAAGACGCAACCGTCATGAATAAAATTCAGAAATGCAGAAATGATTGCTGGCCTATCCCTTCCCCTCCCTACAACCCTCCCTCCCTCCTTCCCTCATCTCCATCCCACTCCCTCCCTCATCTACCTTCTCAGCTTATGCGCCCTGCACAAAGCAAAATCAGGGAAGTCAACACACACACGCCCTGCACAAAGCAAAATCAAGGAAGTCAACACACACACGCCCTGCACAAAGAAAAAACAAAGACGTCAACACGCGCCCTGCACAAGCAAAAACAGAGAAGTCAACACTCACACGCGCCCTCTCACGCTCTCTCACGCGCTCTCTCACACGCCTCTCACACGCTCTCTCACGCGAATTCTCACGCGAACTCTCACGCGCTCTCTGACACTCTCTGACGTGCTCTCTCATGCGCACACTCAAGCGCTCTCACTTGCTCACTCACGCGCTCTTTCACGCACTCTCTCATGCGCTCTCTCACACACGCTCTCACGCGCTCCCTCACGTGCACTCTCACGTGCACACTCACGCACACTCACGTGCACTCTCACGCACTCTCTCCTGCACTCTCTGACGCACTCTCGCACTCGCTCGCTCACGCTCTCTCACATGCTCTCTCAAGCGCACTCTCACGCGCTCCCTCACGCGCACTCTCTTGCGCATTCTCTCTATCACACACTCTCTCACGCGCTCTCTCGCGCACTCTCTCACGCGCTCTCTCGCTCGCACTCTCACTCGCCCTCTCACGCGAACTCTCACGCGCACTCTCAGGCGCTCTTTCACATGCTCTCTCACGTAATCTCCCATGCGCTCTCTCACGGGCTCTCACACATTCCGTCGCACTCCCTCTTGCGCATTCTCTCTCTCACGCGCTCTCTCATGCACACTCTCTCGCACTCTCTCTCGCACACTCTCACGCGCTCTTTGATGCAATCTCTCACGCGCTCCTTCACGCGCTCTCTCACGCACTCTCTCACGCACTCTCTCACGCACTCTCACACGCTCTCTAACACGCGCTCTTTCACTTGCTCTCTCCCGCTCTCCCTCACGCACTCTCTCATGCGCTCTCTCACGGGCTCTCACGCACTCCCTCATGTGCTCTCTCTCGCGCACTCTCTTGCGCATTCCCTCTGTCACGCGCTGTTTCTCGCGCACTCCCACGCACTCTCTCACGCGCTCTCTCATGCGCGCGTTTATGCGCACTCTCGCGCTCTCTCACGCGCGATCTCACGCGCTCTCTGACGCACTCTCGCACACGCTCTCTCATGCCACGGGCTCTCTCAAGCGCATTCTCACGCGCTCCATCACGCGTACTCTCTCGCGCATTCTCTCCCTCACGCGCTCTCCCGCGCGTTCTCTTGCACATTCTCTCTCTCACGCGCTCTCTCATGCACACTCTCTCGGACACTCTCTCACACACTCTCACGCGCTCTTTGATGCAATCTCTCATGCGCTCCTTCACGCGCTCTCTCACGCACTCTCTCATGCACTCTCTCACACGCTCTCTGACACGCGCTCCCTCACATGCTCTCTCACGCACTCTCTCACGCACTCTCTCACGCGCTCTCTTACGCACTCTCTCACGGGCTCTCACACACTCCCTCACGTGCTCTCTCTTGCGCACTCTCTTGCGCATTCCCTCTGTCACGCGCTGTTTCTCGTGCACTCCCACGCGCTCTCTCACGCGCTCTCTCATGCACGCTTTTATGCGCACTCTCGCACTCTCTCACGTGCGATCTCACGTGATCTCTGACGCACTCTTGCACATGCTCTCTCACGCCACGTGCTCTCTCAAGCGCAGTCTCACGCGCTCCCTCACGCGCACTCTCTCGCGCATTCTCTCTCTCACCCGCTCTCCCGCGCGCTCTCTTGCGCGCTCTCTCACGCGCTCTCTCCCTCGCACTCTCACTCACACTCTCGCGCACTCTCACGCACACTCTCACGCGCTCTCTCACATGCTCTCTCACGTAATCTCTGATGTGCTCTCTCACGGGCTCTCATGCATTCCGTCGCACTCCCTCTCGCGCACTCTCCTGCGCATTCTCTCTCTCACGCGCTCTCTCATGCAAACTCTCTCGCACACTCTGACGCGCTCTTTGATGCAATCTCTCATGCGCTCCTTCACGCGCTCTCTCACACACTCTCTCACACACTCGCCCACGCGCTCTCTCACGCGCTCTCACGGTCTCTCTCACGCGCTCTCTCACGGGCTCTCACGCACTCCCTCACGTGCTCTCTCTTGCGTACTCTCTTGCGCATTCCCTCTGTCACGCGCTATTTCTCGCGCACTCCCACGCGCTCTCTCACGCGCTCTCTCACGCGCTCGCTCACGCGCACTCTCACACGCACCCGCTCTCTCACGCGCTCCCTCATGCGCTCTCTCACCCACTTTCTCACGCGCTCCCTCACGCGCTCCCTCACGCGCACTCTCACGCGCTCTCTCACTCGCACTCTCACGCGCTCTCTCACATGCTCTCTCACGCAATCTCTCATGCGCTCTCTCACGGGCTCTCACGCATTCTGTCGCACTCCCTCTCGCGCACTCTCTCGCGCATTCTCTCTCTCACGCGCTCTCTCATGCACACTCTCGCACACTCTTACGCGCTCTTTGAGGCAATCTCTCACTCGCTCCTTCACGCTCTCTTTAATGCAATCTCTCACGCGCTCCTTCACGCGCTCTCTCACGCACTCTCTCACGCACTCTCTCACGCGCTCTCTGACACGCACTCTCTTATCTGCTCTCTCACGCACTCTCTCACGCACTCTCTCACGCGCTCTCTCACGCGCTCTCTCACGGGCTCTCATGCACTCCCTCACGTGCTCTCTCTCGCGCACTCTCTTGCGCATTCCCTCTGTCACGCGCTCTTTCTCGCGCACTCCCACTCGCACTCCCATGCGCTCTCTCACACGCTCTCTGACGCGCTCTCTCTCGTGGACTCTCACGCGCACTCGCTCTCTCACGCGCTCCCTCACGCGCTCTCTCACCCACTCTTTCGCGCGCTCCCTCACGCGCTCTCTCACGCGCACTCTCATGCGCTCTCTCACTCGCACTCTCACGTGCACTCTCACGCGCATTCTCATGCGCACTCTCACACGCTCTCACACTCTCCTTCGCGCGCTCTCTCACGTGCTCTCTCACACACTCTCTCACGCGCTCTTGCACGAGCTCTCGCATGCGCACTCTCACGCGCTCCCGTGCACACGCTCCCCCTCGCGCTCCTCTTCTTTAAATAGAAGTGCAATGCAAGAGGAGACGAATTGACTAGCAAAAATTACGAGGCGAGCAGAAAAGAAAAATATAAGGGGGCGGGAGGATTAAAGGACTGAGAACGCACCTGATAATTACAATGCCTCAAAAAACAACCCTCGCTGGCACCAACCCGTGCACGCGCACCAAACATCGCTCGCGCACCCACCCGAGCTCGCGCACCGACCCGCCCTTGCGCACCAACACGCGCTTGCGCTCGAGACGGCAGGGAGGAGGGAGAGGCGATGGCGGGGAGGAGGGAGAGGCGACGGCGGGAGGGAGGGAGAGGCGACGGCGGGGAGGAGGAGAGGCGACGGCGGGGAGGAGGAGAGGTGACGGCGGGGAGGAGGAGAGGCGACGGCGGGGAGGAGGAGAGGCGACGGCGGGGAGGAGGAGAGGCGACGACGGGGAGGAGGGAGAGGCGACGGCGGGGAGGAGGGAGAGGCGACGGCGGGGAGGTAAGGGAGAGGCGACGGCGGGGAGGAGGAGAGAAGGCGACGGGGAGGAGGAGAGGCGGCGGCAGGGAGGAGGAGAGGCGACGGCAGGGAGGAGGAGAGGCGATGGCGGGGAGGAGGGAGAGGCGACGGCGGGGAGGAGGGAGAGGCGACGGCGGGGAGGTAAGGGAGAGGCGACGGCGGGGAGGAGGAGAGGCGACGGCGGGGAGGAGGAGAGGAGACGACGGCGGGGAGGAGGAGAGGCGATGGCGGGGAGGAGGAGAGGCGACGACGGGGAGGAGGAGAGGTGATGGCGGGGAGGAGGGAGAGGCGACGGCGGGGAGGTAAGGGAGAGGAGATGGCAGGGTGGATGGAGACGACCGGTAGTGAGGGAGAGGATACGGCTGGATGGGAGCGAGAGCAACGGCTGGGCGGGAGAAGAACTTGCGAGACATTAAGGTGGGGGGGAGGAAAAGGAGTAGGAGCAGAGCAGGTGCTTGTCTAGCCTGCAGTGGGGTACTCTATAGCGAGTACATCCCGAATTAGGGTTTGCTATATGTACTCAACTGCCTCCTACTGAAATCCCCTCTTTCTTGTTTCTAACTTTTGCCTAGCTATTTCGACATGCTATCGGAGCAGGTCGACACTCCTAAGTCGATCCAGTGGGTGGTCCCATCCGATTCTTCTGCTGCTGTCCTGTCTATCGCACGCCCCGGGCGCGCGATGTTTCCTGCCTGCCGCGCGCTCAGGGCGCGCGGCGCGCGCGGCGGTTTTCAGCCCCGTCAACATGCGCGTCGCCCTCCGTTGCCCGACGCGGCCCGCGACAGGCCTGCGCGCGGCCCAGGCAGCCTGCGCGCGATTCGTCCGGCCTGCGCCAGGCCCGTGCGCGGCCCGTACAGTCTGCCCCAGTGCCGCACGCCGTCCCCCGAGCTTCTGACCGCGCCCCACCCTCGCTGCTGCCCGCGCTCCTGTGTTAGGGTTTGGGGGTGGAGAGTATGGGGGTGCCGGGTGTGTGAGCCGTCCCTTGCTCCTCCTCCTCCTCCGTCTCTCACTGTTGTAGCAGCCGCTAAGGAGGGTGGATGTGTTGGAGCCGTTGGAGTGGTACGAGGGGGGTGGTGTGTGAGCGGTGCTAGAGGTTCAACAAGGGGTGTGTAAAAGGGGTGTGGGACGGTTGGGGAGGTTGACCGGAGGTAGCCGTTGTGACGTCAGCAGCGCCAGTAGTCCGGGGGTTGAGTACTCAGGTAGCCCAACGAGCCTGCTGCTGCCAGTCGCCCGTGGTTCTGTTGCTCCTGTTGCTGCTTAGCGCGGAGCCAGTTACTCCTGTAGTCCAGAGGTTGAGTGCTCCGGTAGCCACCGTGCGCGCCGTTCCTGTTGCACGTGTGTCTGCGGCTTCACCCGACGCCTCCTATCTCCACTCCTCTCACAATTCCTCCTCCTCCTCACTTGACCTCTGTGACTGCCTCTATCTTTGCTTGTATTTGTGAACCTACTGCTCTGCCTGCTTGCTGTACTGATTGTACCCCACTTTGATTATGGGGGTGTGTCGTAACGTGATGTTTGTCTAGCCTGCAAAGGGGTACCCTATAGCGAGTACATCCCGAATTAGGGTTTCTGCCCGCCGGCGCCCCGAGGCGCGCGGTGGGTTTCTGCCCCGTCACTCCGCGCGTCGCTCCTGGTAGGCGCTGCGACGGGCGACAGGGACCCGCGCGTCACCCCCTGTCGCCCGTCGTGGCCTGTGCGCGGCCCGTACAGCCTACGCGCGGCCCGTACGGGCTGCGCCAGGCCCGCGCGCGACTTGAGCCGCCTGCGCGCGGTTCGGGCGCCTGTGCCAGGCCCGTGGGCGGCCCGTTCTTCGCTGCCCCTGCGCTACCTGCTGTCCCCCATGCTTCTGATGGCGCCCCACCCCTGCTGCTGCCCGTTCTCCTGAATTAGGGTTTGGGGGTGGGGGGTATGGGGGTGCAGCTTCTGTGTGCCGTCCCCTGCTCCTCCTCCTCCTCCGTCTCCCTATGCTGCAGCTGCCGCTGAGGGGGGGTGGACTTGTTGGAGCCGTCGGAGTGGTACTAAGGGGGGTGAAGGGGGAGTGGAGCTAGGGGTGAAGCAGGGGGTGTGTGTCAGGGGGGGTGGGGTTGTTTGGGGAGGTTGAACGGAGGTTGCCGTCGTGTCGCCAGAAGCACCTGTAGTGTCAAATTATAATATTGTGTAGGCTATAGTGGGGTAGCCCATATGGGGTACACATTTCTAGGGTTGCATATTTGTATCACTTCCATTCCTTAGTCATTCATTCGCGTTCACTCTTTCACATGGAATCAGAGCAGGTCCCCTCCTAGGGACTGTTCCCAGGGCCCACCGAAGCGCGCCCCGAGGCGCGCGTTCCTTTTTTTTTTAGCGACCCTCCGTGTCGCCCCTAGCGGCCCGGTACGCCGCCCTTACCTACGCGGCCCCGCCGCCCTCACCTGCGCGGCCCCGCTGCCCTTACCTACGCGGCCCCGCCGCCCTTACGTCGCGGCCCCGCCGCCCTCACGTCGCGGCCCCGCCGCCCTCACGTCGCGGCCCCGCCGCCCTCACGTCGCGGCCCAGCCGCCCTCACGTCGCGGCCCCGCCGCCCTCACGTCGCGGCCCCGCCGCCCTCACGTCGCGGCCCCGCCGCCCTCACGTCGCGGCCCCGCCGCCCTCACGTCGCGGCCCCGCCGCCCTCACGTCGCGGCCCCGCCGCCCTCACGTCGCGGCCCCGCCGCCTCACCTTCGCGGCCTCGCCGCCCTCACCTTCGCGGCCCCGCCGCCCTCACCTACGCGGCCCCGCCGCCCTTACCTACGCAGCCCCGCCGCCCTTACGTCGCGGCCCCGCCGCCCTCACGTAGCGGCCCCGCCGCCTCACCTTCGCGGCCCCGCCGCCCTCAAGTAGCGGCCCCGCCGCCTCACCTACGCGGCCCCGCCGCCCTCACCTTCGCGGCCTCGCCGCCCGTGCCTACGCGGCCCCGCCGCCTTCTCCTACGCGGCCCCGCCGCCCTCACGTCACGGCCCCGCCGCCCACACCTTCGCGGCCCCGCCGGTCTCCCCTCCTGCCGAGCCGCCCGAGCAGCCGACCCACGCCACCCGGTACCAGAGCAGCCGAGCCGCCCAGCAGCAGCCGCCGAGCCGCCTGACCGCCGAGCCGCAGTTCAGCCGAGCCGCCCAGCAGCCGCCGCCGAGCCGCCGGACCGCCGAGCCGCAATACCGCCGAGCCGCCCCGCTGCCGAGCCGCCCGACCTGCCCTGTCTGGTGAGCACAGCCCCACTGCTACTGCGTGCCCTTCCCCCACTGCTTGCACTGCTGGTCTGTCGTCATGGCTACCCCTAGTGTCCTCGCTTTTGACGCTGAGGGTCGAGCCATTGACTTTGAGGTCTGGGTCGACGACCTGCAGCTGTTTTTACAGTGCGATAGGGCGGACAGTCTTTCTCTCTTTGACCTCACCTCTGGCGCCTCCCCTGCTCCTGCTGCTGATGCTGACCCCACTGTTCGCTCTCAGTGGGCCACCCGCGATGCTGCTGCACGTCTTGCTGTGCGTCGCCACCTGCCTACCACTGAGAGCGCGCACTTTAATCAGTACAAGAGTGCTCATTCCTTGTACGACGTTGCAGTTGCGCGCTACTCTTCCCCTGCCACTGCTGCACTGAGCCGCCTCATGCTACCGTACCTCTTTCCTGACCTTGCTGCCTTTCCTACAGTCGCTGACCTCATCACGCACCTCCGCACTTCTGACACTCGCTACCGCGCCGCACTTCCTGCTGAGTTCTGCGCCAAGAACCCCCCCCCCATGTACATCGCTCTCTATTACATAGTCACTCGCCTCCCTGACTCCCTTCGCGTAGTCAGGGACCACTTCCTCTCAGTCTGTCCCACCACCCTCACTGTCGACCTCCTCGAGAAGGCCCTCCTAGCTGCGGAGAAGAGCATAGTCGCTGTAGGAGCCTCTCGTGGTGACCCGCGCACCCCCATCTTTGAGGGGTGTTCTCCTTTCCCCCTACTACCCTCTGTTGCCTCTGCTGCTGCTGCCGACCTGCTTGGTCTTGAGTCGGTCGGCGCGGCGTCTGCTCCTAGCGGGAGACACCGCCCTGGCAAGGGCAAGGGGGGCAAGGGCGCGGGTGGAGCTGGCGGGGGCGGAGGAGGTGGCAGTGGCGGTGGCGGAGGGAGTGGGGGTGGCGGTGGGAGTGGTGGTGGGGGTGGTGGTGGTGGTGGCGGCAGCGGAGGCGGCGGCGGTGGCGGCGGAGGCGGTGGGAGCGGAGGCGGCGGTGGTGGCGGAGGTGGAGGCGGCGGTGGCGGAGGAGGTGGAGCCGGTCGAGGTAGTGCCCCGCAGCGGAGCGGCTCTGGTGGTGGTCAGCGCCAGCAGCAGCAGCAGCAGCAGCGTTCTCGGGACATCCCCCCGCCTCAGCAGCTCCGTGAGTGGTACACGCAGCGTCAGCGTGGTGGGGGTATTGGCCCGTGCACCTACGTTCTTCGTTCAGACGCTTCACATGGATGTGTGGGGCCCAGCCCCCGTCCGTGGGCAGGGTCACGAGCGCTACTTCCTGTTGGTGGTTGACGACTACTCGCGTTACACCACAGTCCTCCCCTTGCGCAGCAAGGGTGCGGTCACTGAGGTGCTGATCGACTGGATCCGCAAGGCTCGTCTCCAGCTCAGGAAGAGCTTCGGCTCGGACTTTCCTGTTCTGCGTCTGCACTCGGACAGAGGCGGAGAGTTCTCTTCTCGCCTTCTGCGAGACTACTGTCGTGCACGGGGGATCCGCCAGACCTTCACGCTTCCGGACTCACCACAGCAAAATGGGATTGCTGAGCGCCGCATTGGCATGGTCATGGATGTCGCTCGTACGTCCATGATGCATGCGGCTGCCCCCCATTTTCTGTGGCCGTTTGCGGTGAGGTACGCGGCGCATCAGCTCAACCTTCACCCCCGTGTCTCTCGGCCTGCGATGTCCCCAGCCTTGCTGTTGACGGGGAAGGTCGGCGATGCGTCTACGTTTCGTGTCTGGGGATCTCGGGCGTTTGTCCGCGACTTGTCTGCGGACAAGCTGTCCCCTCGTGCTGCTCCCTGTGTCTTCCTTGGCTTCCCCACTGACGCCCGAGGGTGGCAGTTTTACCACCCCTCCTCTCGTCGTGTTCTGTCCTCCCAGGACGTCACGTTCGACGAGTCAGTCCCCTTCTACCGTCTCTTCCCCTACCGCACTCCTTCCCTCCCCCCTCCCCCGGACTTCCTTGTGCCGGTTCCCCCCCCGGTAGACCCCCTCCCCCCTCAGGTTCCTGCCCCCTCAGGTGTGTCCCAGGTAGACGTCGTTGACCCGGTCGAGGTTACTGGTGACTCTGGTGCTGCTGCGGGAGCTGAGCCTGGGGGTGCTGACTCTGGGGGTGCTGTGCGCGGGGGTGCTGGGCCTGAGGGTGCTACTGCGGAGGGTGCGGAGCCTGGGGGTGCTGAGCTGGGGGG